AAGGGCTACAGTTCTTAGCAAGAGAGGGAGTGAGGAGTCGTCAGGAAAGCTGCAGGTTGCTTTGAGACAGTCGTCCCAAATGCACTAGAGGAACTGTAGGAATCTGCCAGGGGAGGAACAATGATCCATAGTCAGAAAAGTGACTGCAGCTTAAACAGGAACCCTTCTTGTTCAGGACTGTCAGAGCCACGGTTTGCAAAACGTGCAGCTGTTGATTAATGCAATGTCATGTCAATTAGATGTACATCCCTGAGGTCTTTTTTCTGTGGTAGCTTTTCTTTTTCCTTTCATTACATCAGGTACACTGCCCTGTAAATTGTGGTAGTGATACCAGGAATAAAAAATTGAGGAATTTTTAACTTTTCAATACTTGCGTAGTTCACTTTTTCTACATTTTAGTAAACTTTAACAAAATGCAGTTTTGAAGGTGTTTCCTTGTGAGTTAAGAAGATCAGTGCTAATCACTATTTTAGATAAATAGAATTGGATATTTAAATTAGCATATTTTTGTGACTTTAATGACATTAAGATTTAGACTTCAAATGAAAAATCTCAAAATAAAAATAAAATAAAGAGGTTTTTAGCTGTGGAAGTTAAGTTTTTTTGTTTAAAAGGGGATAAAGAGAGACCGGGTGGGGGTCAGACAGCCTGATCCAAATCCTGGTGCTCTATCACACTCTAGTTCAGTGATGGTGAACCTATGACACACGTGTCAGAGGTGACACACGAACTCATTTTTTTGGTTGATTTTTCTTTGTTAAATGGCATTTAAATATATAAAATAAATATCAAAAATATAAATCTTTTACTATGGTTGCAAAGATCAAAAAATTTCTATATGTGACACGGCACCAGAGTTAAGTTAGGGTTTTTCAAAATGCTGACACGCCGAGCTCAAAAGGTTCGCCATCACTGTTCTAGTTCCCAGGCCATGAGCAAACCATACAACATCTATACTCATTTTCCTCATCTGAGGAATGGGGATTGCTAATGCTGGTATGTCGTTCAGAGGTTTGTGCGAATTTACACGCTAATCTGTGTATAGTGTTTACTATAATGCCTCGCATACAGTAAGCACTCAGTAAGAGCCAGCTATTGTTATTCTGTTATCATCCCAGGGTACTTGACTGTACCAAGATTCAGGGAGGAGTGGGTTGAGAAGAAATTAGACAACACTGACTTTCTGCTCCCCTCCTACACCTTAGGTTTTGTTTTTGACAATCATTAGATCTGCTTTTCAGGGAGAGGTGAGGATTGGGAGGAAGAGGAAGGAGATAAGGCCAATGGGCCACCAGATTCCAGGAGGCAAAGTAAGGGCGTGGTCAAGATGTTTCCAACATTCTCGTGTGTTTCGAATCTATTCAATTACATGCACCTGAACTCTATCAAGCCCATATCACTCAGCCACGTGGGACCACAGGTTCAGAACATAGGTTATAACTATAGCCTTTGGCTATAATTGTGCTGGGAGGGCTTTGCCCTCTAAGCTAGGACTTGCACATGGCTTTGCCATGAGAGGACTGTGCTGTCTCATAAGTCCGAGGCTTGAATCTGTCCAAACGCTGTGGCCACTCTCCACAACACTCATTGCTTTCTGACATCTTCCTTCTGTATGTCTGTTGTAATTTCTGAGTTCTTGTTGGTTAGCCTCCTGAGCCCATTGCATACTGTAGATTTAATCTCCATTCTCAGAGGCAGACACATCCCTGCAGGTTAATGTTGCAACAGAAGGATGCCTTCTTCCCAGGAGCAAGCTGGGTGGAGGAGCTTGCATGTTGCCATTATATCAGCCCTGCAAGGAACATAGTTATTAATTCCATTGTACAGAGGGAGAAACTTGCCCAAGGTCACAGATAGCCCATAGAAAAGGGAGTTCAACCCCCAAATGTTCAACAGCAGGGGTCATTCTCTTCCACTAAAGTATGTGGGAGGGTTATAGGACTAAAACAAGTATCTTTCTGGTGCTCAAAAACGACATGTTGCATGCATTTTGCATAACATCTGAGAAATTCTGTTGACTCAGAGCTGTAAGGCTGGGCCTATCTGGCTTGGGAAAAGGAATATTCCATGGAAGTTCCAACTAATTCTGCTGGACCTCCCAATTCCCAGGAAGCAAAGCACTGGAGGTTGGTTCTGTCTTTGGTCCAGGTGGAAGGCTGCAGTTTTTGTCATCAGCAAATCAACCTCCAGCAGTTATAGTTCACTATTGCTCATTTGCTTAGTAGCTTTCGGTCAAGGGGGAGGGAACTAGGTCAGAAGCACAAGGAACTATTTCTGGGCTTTGGCCTTTGGAAAGCAGCCTTATCCTGTTTACATATTCTCTTCAGATTTGCACAATCTGACCACAGATATGTTGCCTGCCAAGCCCAGGTAAATACAGGCAGCCAAGTACTCTCCAACCAGCCAATGCTATTGGACAACCAAAGGACCTCAGAACTCTATACTGTACTACGCAGCTGTGATAACTATAGAAGAAAAGAGCAACTCAAGGCTCCTGACCTTGGACTGCTGGAGCAGAAGTGTATTCCTACCTGGTGGAAGAGGCCACGCAGTGCAAGCTCTGAGCCCTTCTCTGGCATGACTCTGGGTCCAGTTACCCCTCCTAGCACCTACCCAGTTACACCCTGAATTGAGGTGTCAGCACTAGGATGAACCCTAATTTACCTTACAAGGGTGAGAGGAGGAAGAAGGAAGTCTCTTATTCAGCATTGAATAGCTGGATGAATCGGGTATCCTTCAGAAAACAAAACTGAAGGGAAAAAGGTGCCCTTGTTTGGATCCCCTTCTTCAAAGAGGTGAAAAAAGACTGATGCAGGGCAAAAGGTTCTGTGTGTGTGTGTGTGTGTGTGTGTGTGTGTGTGTGTGTGTGTAGGAGCAGGTCGGGGGGTGGAGATAGAGAGACGGAGTGAGGGAGGTAGAGGAAGAGGGAAATGAAGATGCGGGAGAGGGAGAGATAAGTGAGGGAAGAGGAGGCCTGGTTGCTCTACAGAGCCAAGGAAGGACATCAGTTGGGAGACAGCTCTCGGATCACTCATCTGAGGTGTCACTGCCAAGTCCCCAGCAGCCAAAAAGCCTGGGTCAGCCTGTCTTCTTCTAATCCTGAAGCCCCAGAATGAAACCATCCACCTTCCACCTCTTTTCCACCAGCTATTTCAGAGACTACCATCTCATATTCTGCCCTCATTCCCAACATTATTTTTGTTTAATATGGTAAGGGGGAGAGGGGACAATGTTGGGAATGAGAGGAAGGGAATGGCAAATAGGTAACGTCATGTTGCAGAATGGAGGAAAGACTGAGAAGTGGTCCAAACTCCCACCAATAGCTCTGCAACTGAGGTGAGGCTTTTCCCAGCTAGGACTGGACTGGTTGGGTTCAAATAAAATAATGCATATAAACTTGTTGAGCCTAGCCCTGTCCCTTGGGACCAAATAAATATATTTTTTCTTTCTCTGTGGTAGATATTGTCCTTGGGTCGGGGATGAAGGAGGTGAGGGTGTGGGGGGAAGCGGAAGTAATTTCTATATTGAACGTGTACTTTCAATACACGTTCAATATAGCCCCAGGGGCATCACCACGACCACTCCTACCATCCTAGTCCAAGACCTTTTCTCCTCAAGAGACTTCCTGCTTCTACCCTTGCCTCCCAGAGTTGACTCTCCACACAGCAGCCAGAGTGATCTTTATAAAAACATAAATTGCATCTTGCCACTCTCCTGTTTAAAACTCTTCAAATGTCCCCATCACACTTTAAAAAATACATTTTTATTGACTTCAAAGAGGAAGGGAGAGGGAGAGAGAGAAACATCAATGATGAGAGAGAATCATTGGTCGGCTGCCTCCTGCACACCCCACACTGGGGTTCGAGCCCACAACTCTGCATGTGCCCTGACTGGGTATCAAACTGTGAGCTCCTGGTTCATAGGTCCACGCTTAACCACTGAGCCACACCGGCCGGGTCCCCAACACACTTTGAAGAGTAGAATTTAAATACTTCACCATAGGTTATTAGGCCCCAACATGATGGCCTCTGCTGACTTTATCTCTCACTGACCCTTGCTTCTAAGCTCATCAAGACCGTTGTTGGGCCTCAGGGCTTTGCACCTGCGATTCCCTCTGCCTGGAATTCCCTCTGTTCTAGGTACCTGTCCCGGAGGTCCTGACTCACCACCTACGCGAAATTAGCCCCGCCCCGTCGCTGCATTCCATGGGCTTCATAGCAGATGGTCATGATACGCAGCCAGTCTTGTCTGTCATTTGTGTACTTGCTTACTGTCTGTTTCACCCGCACAGCCCTGAAGGGAAGGCGCTGCATCTATCTACTCCATCGCGGAATCTCTAGGCTAAGCAGAGCCTGGCACATAGTAGATCTCCAGCAGTTGTTGCATAAATGATCTTTTCAAATCCTACATCTTGTGACGTATGCGCAAAAGGGAGCTCAGGCTCAGGACAGAGCTCTGCTCCGTCTGAACACGCGGTCACCTTCCTTCCCAGGACGCGCCAGGCCACCGGGAGCAGCTCCCGACCTTTCTACACACCCCGTGCCCCTCTCCAGGGAGGACGGCCGGGCTTCCAGCCCCTCTCAGAGCCCGGTGCGGCGGCCCTCAAAGTCATCCCACATTTTGGGGGCTCACAGAAGCCGCCCTTTTCCAAACATGGACCCTGCCTGGTGCCCGAACCCCCTCCGCGAGCCCGCAATCAGGGGCAGAGTGTGGGGGACCCCTGGGGGTGTCTATGGTAAAATGGGGCGGGCCCCCTGGTCCACCGGTAATAACGGTTCAGTGCCCTCAGTCTGTTCCTCGTCTCTGGCTCGGGACCCCCCCCAGGCCAATGTGGGGGCGAGAGGCAGGCGCCAGGCGTCAAGGGCAATGAGGACATGCAGGCCCGAATGGGGATGGGCGAGTTCCGCGCAGCAGAACCTTTCTTCACCGAGGCCTGGTTTCCGGCCGGTCCGCTTTGGAAGAGACACCGCACTTAACCGTCCCTCGCGCTCGCACCTCCCCCTCCCGGCCCAGTCTGCAGAGGCTCGCCTTCCTCTCCGCCCGCAGGTCGGGGCCGCTGCCGCGGGCGCGTTCCGCATCGCTCCGGGAGCCCCAGGCGTGGAGCTCCGAAGCCATCGACAGCTTCTGGCACTTCTGAGCTGCGGTGGGCGAGGGCCCGCGCGTTTCCTCCAGCTGGGGAGGTCGGAGAGCGGAGGCGGAGGCAGTTTCAGGCCTTAGGCCCCGCGGGCCGGGTCCAGTGAGACGCGCCCATCCTTCGCCGAACCGGGCGCGCGCGGGCCTCTTAGGACCTCACCGGCGACCCGTAGTTCGGACACGCGCTTGCCGCAGGCCGCAGGAAGGAGGGGTCCAGTCTGAGGCCTGGGGCGACGGCCGCTATGGAGATCACCTCGGCCCAGGGCCCGCGCCAGGAGCCTTGGGGGCGGCCCTGACCGCCCTCCTCCCTGCCGAGGCCGGGTCGCGGACGTGCCCCCCGCGGCCGCCCGCCGCCTCTGCCTCTCCGGCCTCCCCGGGCCGCGCTGCTGCCTGGGCGCGGCGGCGGCGGCGGCGCCCTGTTGAATGGGCTGTGAGGGCCCAGGTTTGTAGCGCTGGCGAACGCGGCCTCCAGGGGCGCAAGGCAACAGCAGCGGTGGCGACCAAACGGGTGTTGGAGTTGGCGGCGGCCATGGAGGGCCTGGCTGGCTATGTATACAAGGCGGCCAGCGAGGGCAAGGTGCTGACCCTAGCCGCCTTGCTCCTCAACCGGTCTGAAAGCGACATCCGCTATCTCCTGGGCTTTGTCAGCCAGCAGGGAGGGCAGCGCTCCACGCCCCTGATCATCGCAGCCCGCAATGGCCACGCCAAGGTGGTGCGCTTGCTGCTGGAACATTACCGGGTGCAGACCCAGCAGACTGGCACCGTCCGCTTCGACGGGTAGGTACTGCCCACCTCCGGCCTCCTCTCCTAGGCGCGCGGCCCGGCCCGGCCGATTCTTGGTCCCTCCCCTCCCCCACGCTTTTCATGGAGGTATCACTGGTCCCTTTTTGTACCTCCTTCCGCCCCATTCATGCCCACTTCACCTTCCAGGGCTAATACTCCATCCCATGTTTTGCTGCTCATCCTCATCGGCCCCAGCATCTTATTTCCTCTGCAGGTAAAGAGCCACGCCCTCTGTTTTGATGTCTAATAGTTTATTCTCCTCTGGATAGTCTGCGAGCAGGCAGTATGAAGGAGGTGGCTGCCTTTTCAGGCTTTGCTGTGATCAGTACCGAGGTTGTAACCTCGAAATGATCGAGGTCAGCAGTTAACATGGAAGACCTCTGATGAGTTATTCGGCCAGTTTTTACCGCTTCAAATTAGTGGGCCTGTGAAGCCCTCAGTGGCTTTGCGGGGGCCTTCGTGTCAAACAAGCCCCTGGAGCCAGCACACATATCCAGACATGACTGACTTCCCCATTGCAGGGGGTAGATACATTGGCTGTAAAAATGGCACTGAGCTGGGTGTAGGAGATGATGCCATGGTGAGATTACGTGTTATCCGGTGATATTGCGGGGAAGCTTTATAATTTACTGTTTTTTCGTGGTGGGGAGTTCAAAAATTCATATTGTCAAAGTTAAAACTTGCCCTTTGGGTTTCATTGTACCTTTTTGGGGGTATGCTAATGTTGAACACACAATTGTCAGGTTTGACATTATTCCCTTTTCTATGCTGGATGATTATAAAATGTTTTACAGATTACAAGTGCATAAGGATTTTGCTTCATTGATTACATTTGTTTTTGTTGACTTGTGCCAGAACTTAAGCTGCTTTAATATTTTCTTTTGAGGTTGGTGTAGTCCAAGCACAAAGATAAGGTATTTCTCGTTTTGGTGATTGAAAACTGCTTGGTTAAAACATGATTAAAAAATCACTTCTTGAAGATAACTAGGGCATTGTTGAATTTTGATTCTTTTTTAGGTTTACATAAATAAAGGCCTTCTGTTTTAGATGAGAGGAAGATATTTGAGAGTATTACATTTTAATGCAATGATAGCCCATGGGTGGTGGTTAATCTCTGCTACTACCTCTCTAGATATTAAGGAAATGATTTTTTTCATGTTAACCAGAGATGGCAACCTGATTCATGTTTGCTTTCCCTACTGGCTTCTGTAACTCCCTGCATTCCCAAAGCCCTTCCTGTATCCAGAGGAGTGAAGCAGATAGACCCTGAACTTCCTGCACCATTCCAGTTGTACAGGCACAGGCATCCACTGAGAGAAGACTCTCTGCAAAAACAGTCCTTGGGAACAGTGCTGCTAGTGAGCTGGTTAAGGCCTATTTGGATGGGGGAAGAATAGTGGGGAGAAAACAGTTTCCTAAAGCATTTGGAAAGGCTTTGCTTTACCACTGTCTTTCTTAACCATCAAAGAGAAAGTTATTTTGAGATGGCAAAAAAGACCCTGCAGTGATTAGAAATTGAGCCTATTTTGTGGCTTACCTTGCCCAGTAATCTGCACTGGCCTGTGAAATTAAGGGCTTCAGTGAGCAAACATTTACTGAACACCTACTGTGTGCCAGGCTCTGTGGTATTAATTGGGTAGGCAGAGATGAATAACATACTGTTCCCACTGTGGAGGAAGACAGTCTAGCAGGAGGCGGAGAGAAGTAGATACATCAATGAGTAATTGCAGATGCTGTGCCATTTAGAAATCTTTTGGATGCTGAGGAGCACAGGAAGAGAAAGCGCTCAACTTTGTCTGGGGGAATCAGGGAAGGCTTCATAGCCAGGTGATGCTCGAGCTGAGTCTTAAAAGGATTGTAGGAAGTGAAGAAGAGGGTCAGCAGCATAATGTATTTGCAGTGACGAGTGTTCCAGTGCAGTTGCAGGAAGGGATTCAAACCACGGAAATTAAGACTGAGATTGTGGGAGACAAGAGGGGTGGAGGCCAATTTTGATGATCCTAGTGTAAAGTAAGTATCAAGAGTCAGACTGATGAGACTCAAGCCCCAAACATTTCTATCATTCGTGATTTCCTCTGAGCCTTCTTTTGAAGCTTTTTTGTTTATGGATTATTACAGTTATGAATTTGTTAATGGCTATGATAAAATAGTTTAGTATTTATTTTATTTATTAAATGCCCATGATGGGCCCAGCCCTGTGCCACATTCTGTGGAAGATTCAGAAAAAATGTAAAGTTCCTACTTTTGACTAATTAACAAAGGAGAATTGAAGTTTATGGCCACTTTTCTGCCCACTCACAGGATTCGAAGATTATTGTGCAGTTTATCCCAGTCATTGTAGCATTTCATAACTAGATAAAGATAGTGTTACAGTAAATGTGATGATTTTACTTTGCACTCATTCCAGACATTGTGAAAATGTTAGCCTGAGGTGTTCACAGTATGAAGCTCACTCATCCCTTAGGAGCTGGCTTTTGAGGTACTTAGTCAAACTCCCGTTTTTATTTATTTTTGCCTATTTTTTTAAAATTAAATTTTTTGGTATTACATTGGTTAATAAAATTGTATAGGTTTCAGGTGTATAATTCTATAATACATCATCTGTATATTGTTGAGTGGTCACCACCTCAAATCAAGTCTCCTTCCATCTCCATTTATCGCTTCTTTACCCTCTTCTGTCTCCTCCTATCCCCTTTCCCTGTGGTAATTACTATACTGTTGCCTGTGTCTATGAAGTGTTTTTTCTTTTCTTAATCCCTTCACCTTTTTCACCTGTGGTACATTTATTCAATAGAATATACTATCCGGCCATGAAAAAGGAAATGTTACCCTTTGTAACAACATGGAGGGACCTGGAGAGTATTATGCTAAGTGAAATAAGCCAGTCAGAAAAAGACAAGTACCATATGATTTCACTTATGTGTGGAATCTAATGAACAAAATAAACTAACAAACAAAATAGAAAAAGACTCAGAGACAAATAACAGACTTACAGCTGTGTGTGTGTGTGTGTGTGTGGGGGGGGGGGTGTTTTGGGGTTTGGGTGAAAAAGGTGAAGGGATTAAGCCAAACCCCCATCTTTACAGTCCATTGACATTTGAGACCCATGGCCAGGGGGAACAAATAGTGTTTCCCAACTTTTAGTTACTTGTGTATCATCATAATTTTTTTGCCAAATTGTTTACCACCTCTTCTGTTATTTGCCTAATATTAAAAACAAAACAAACACAGTCTCACTTCTTAGCTTTATCCTAAGCAATAGTATCAGTATAATTATGGGCTTGACATTGTATGCTTTGTGTGTGTGTGTGTGTGTGTGTGAGAGAGAGAGAATTAAATAACATTAAAAATGTAAAGAAAAGGCCTATGTTCTGCCTAACAGCTTCTATAATACTGTAGGAAACAAAAGTAGATTCATCATAGAGCTTCAACAGGGAAGGATTACCCATCCAGATTAAGTTCCATGATGATACCTGAGTCCTTGTTCATATATTTAGGAGTAACAGTTGAAATTGTTTTACTTATGGCTTACTGTGTGAAGGCTAGAATGGACACATATGAGTGGATAAGAAGAAAAGTTACATGAGTGGGAATGAAAGAACCTTTAGTTGGAGAATGGGAAGATGTTAAGAATGTTACAGAAATTGCACTAGCTGGTTTGGCTTGGTGGATAGAGCTTCAGCCTGTGGACTGAAGGGTCCCAGGTTCGATTCCGGTCTAGGGCACATGCCGGGGTTGCTGGCTCAATCCCCAGTGAGTGGTGTGCAGGAGGCAGCCAATCAATGATTCTCTCTCATCATTGATGTTTCTATCTCTCTCCCCCTCTTCCTTCCTCTCTGAAATCAATAAAAATATTTTTTTAAAAAAGAATGTTACAGAAATGGAAACAGAACAAAGGCTAGGTGTCATGTGACCACGCAATATTGTGTTGGCCTGACTGCTCTGTGCCAGAGTTTGTAGGAACCCCTATAATAGGAGAGGTTTGCTGACATAGATGGGAAGGAGAACAGGACCTCTGGGAATTCTGAGGCTTTTTGTTGAGTGCTTTTACTTTTAAAGACAGTGCTACTGCCCTAGCTGGTTTGGCTAATAGATAGAGCATCTATCAGCCTGTGGACGAAAGGGTCTCGAGTTCTATTCCAGTCAAGGGCACGCACCTCGGTTGCAGGCTCCTGGCCCTGGTCGGAGGGGGCATGCGGGAGGCAACCAATTGATGTGTTTCTCTCACATCGATGTTTCTCTCCGTCTTTCCCTCTCCCTTTCACTCTCTAAAAATCAATGGAAAAATATCCTTAGGTGAGGATTAAAAAAAAAAAATAGCAAAGGAGTGAGGAATAAGATATCCTATGAGAAGAAACTAAATGAGATGAATGACAAAAAAAAAAAAAAAAAAAAAAGACTGTGCTACTACTCACATTTTTAATGAATGTCCAGGTAGAGGAAAGGCATGAGAGCCACATCATTTGACTTCATTAAGAAGTCATTGCCATATATATTTCCAGGAGCTGTGTTTGATCTAATAAATGATTTTAAGGGCTTTGGTTAGGATAAAGTGCTGATTATTTACATTTAGTGAGTTTTTATTTCCATTTCAAATGCTTGAACCAGACATTTTTTATTTCAAATTGAACCAGAAAATAGTTAAGCTTAGTTTTATGAACAGAAATGTTATCTTTGCAGTTTTGGACTGAGTCTAGGAAGATCATGGTTTTATAGAGTGCTTCTCCTATAGGCACTAAGTAAATATTGCATTAATTTTATTATATTTTTATTTTCTGTTATTAATGTGTTTAGTATTTTGTTTGAGGCAGTGTATGCTTATAATTTTAGCTGAATTTTATGGAAAAAGGAGTCATAGATGTTAGGATTATAATTCTTTTAATATCTTTAATATTTTTGTTTATATGTAGAAATTAAAATTTTACTACAGCTAATGTTTCTGGAGGACTAGTCATTTTATAATATACCAGAGGTCTGATGCATGAAATTCGTGCATTAGTAGGCCTTCGCAGCCGCAGCGGCTGACTCCATCCCTCCCTTGATCCCTGACAGCCGTGGCTTCATCTGGACGGTGGTCCTGACGGCCATTTGGTCGATTTGCATATTATGCTTTTATTATTATAGATTGCAGTGAATTTGTTTTGGTGATAAACTATTTAAGGAATTGTAATTGTCTCAGTGAAAATAGGTAGTGGAAATTTTTTTGAGGTAGCTTGTCACAAAAAATACAGATAAATGGAAATTATTAAGCTATACCAGGAAATAATTTAATTTTTTCTCTTACACCATTCTTGGAAATTTGAGGGAAGAAAAATATTTTAATCATTTTTTTCTCTTTTTAAGCTTTAAAATGGGGTCATATTTATCTTGTACTGTTATTTCCAGAGTTACAGATAAATGCATGTGAATGCCCATTTTAATGTAACATTTCTTAAGTTTTTGGTAGTTTAAGGTTCATGTTCCTGGCATAATAATTTTACACTTAAAAATTTTAAAAAATATTCTCACCTGAGGATATGTTTTTATTGATTTTAGAGAGGGAGGAAGGGGGAGAGAGAGAGAGAGAGAGAAAGAAACACTGATGTGAGAGAGAAACATGCATTGGCTGCCTCCTGCACACACACTTGACTGGGAATCGAACCTGTGACCTTTTGGTGTATGGGACGATGTTCCAAACAGTTGAGCCACACTGACCAGGACAAAAATTTTATACTTTTATTTATTTTATTTTATTTTTTTTGTTGTCCAAAGTTTTACATTTGTCTTCAATAATTTCATACTTGTAAAGAGTGCAAGAAAATATTGGAACTATGTAGATGTAACTGTATATTATTAATTGTGTGTTAATTTTAGGGTAGATTAGGTTGAAAAATGCTTTTTAAATTGAAACAAATGTCATGGGTTATGATTTCTTAGAATTGATTCATTTTATAGTTTCCAAAGTACTCTTTTATTTTTAACCTCATAAACTTTTTAGTTACATGTCTGTAAAATGGGCATATTAGTAGTATCTACCTCATAGGGTAATAGAGATGAGGTTATTATGAGAAATAAATGAGATATATTAAGCACTTAATACAGCTTGGCACATTGAAAGTATTAGCTATTGGTGCTCATTTAAACTGTTATTCTTTAAAATGATTTGTGCCTCTTTTTTGTTTATAATTATGCTTATTTTTAGTTAAGGTATAACATCTAGTATGGTGCATAACTCTTAAGTGTACAATGTGATAAGATTTTAATATGTTTACATACGTGTAATCATCTTCTAGATCAATATGTAGAACGTTCTTATCATTCTAAAAGTTTCCCTTGTGTCTTTTCTCAGTCAATTCCTCTCCTTTCCCATCCCTCAAGTAATGATTATTCTGCCTTCTATCACCATAGATTAATTTTGCTTATATTTGAATTTCCTGTAAATAAAATAATAACAGTATACTCTTTTCTGTATAGCTTTTTTTCTTTTTTTGGTTAACACGGTCTATAAGATTCATCCATGTAGTTGCATGTATCAGTAGTTTGTTTATTTAATGCTTTATAATATTCCATTGTATAAATATATGGCAGCTTATTTATCCTGTTGATGGATATTTTGGTTATTTCCAATGTTTGACTGTTACGAATAAAGCTGCTTTGAAAATTTTTGTATAGGTTTTCTGGTGGACATTTGCATTCTTTTCTTTTCAGTATATACCTGCTATGGAATTGTTGGGTCATAGGATGGATATATGTTTAACTTTAATAGTTATTGCCAGTTTTCCCAAAGTGGTTCAAGCAAATTGCATTTCTGCCAGCAATGAGAGTTTGTATTGCTCCACACCCTGGCCAACACTTAGTATGTCATGTCAGTTCTTACTAATTTTAGCTATTCTAGTGGGTTTATATGTTGGTAACTCCTGGTTTTAATTTGCATTCCCCTGGTGAATTATCTTGAACATCTTTTCATATGTTTGTAGTCATTTGAGTATCTTTTGTGAAGTATACTTGTTTAATCTTTTCACCCATTTTTTTTTTTTTTAAATCCTTACCCGACGATATTTTTTCCATTGATCTTTAGAGAAAGAATGGAAGGGAGGGAGTAGGAGGGGAGAGGGAGAGAGAAAGAAACATTGATGTGAGAGAAACATTGATGTGAGAGAGACATATCAAGTAGTTGCCTTCTGCACGCATCCCAACCAGGGCGGGGGATCGAACCTGCAACTGAGGTATGTGCCCTTGACCGGGAATCAAACCCCAACCCTTTGGTCTGAGGGCCGATGCTCTGAGCCAAATCGGCCAGGGCATTTTCACCCATTTTTTTAATTGGGTTGCTTGCTTTTTCTTATTGAGTTGTCGAATACATCTAATACAAATGTCTTCTCCCAGTGAGTGGATTGCCTGTTTTCTTTGCTTACAATGCCTTTTGATAAGGAGAAGTTTTTGATTTTAAGGTAGTCTAATTAATAAAATTTTTTATGGTTATTGCTATTTTTATAAGTTTTATTTCATTTAATTGATTTCAGAGAGAGAGGGAAGGAGTGCTAGTGAGAAACATTGATTTGTTGTTCTATTTTTTTATACATTCTGGTTAGTTCTTGTATTTGCCCTGACCAGGGTTTGAACCCACAACCTTGCCATATCGGGATATGCTCTAATCAACTGACCTACCTGGCCAGGACTGGTTATTTGCTGTTTTTTCATTCTGTTTAAGAATTTGTCATCAACCCTGAGGTCATGACGATAGTATTTTTTAAAGAAACTTTTATTGTTTTGCTTTTCATATTCTAGGTCAATGTTACTTCTAATTTTTGTGTATGGTATGAGATAAGAGTCAAGGTTAAATTCCCCCCCTATACAGGCATCTAGTTGCTTCCAGCACCGTTTGTTAAAAAGACCATACTTTGTACCTGAATTTCACTTGAGCATTTGTCATAACTTGAGCATTTGGAGTTTTTGTTTGTTTGGTCTGTCCTTGTACTAGTGACACATTATCTTAATTACTGTAGTTTGTCCTTCAACTTTATTTTTCTTTTAAGATTATCTTGGTTGTTCTAGGTCCTTTGCATATCTATATTTGTAGAATTGGCTTCTCAATTTCTGTACACCGGTGGATGCATCTGCTAAGATTTTGATTGCATCAAATCTATAGATCATTTGAGGGAGAATTGGTATCTTAGCACTTTTGAGTCTTCTAAACCATGAACATGGACTCTTTCTCCATTTATTTAGGTCTTTAATTTATCCTGAATGTTTTGTAGTTTTCAGTGTAGAGGTCTTACACATTTTTTCATTAGATTTATTACTAGATATTTTTTGGTGTCTGATATTTTTTTTTTGACAGTGAAAGAAAAATTTTGAAGTTTGTGTTAACCATGACAATAAAAATGTAATAAATGAATTTTAATAAAATTGTTTGCAGAAGTACAGTTGGAAACCACTAAAACATGTATGTAATGTCTTATTATTCATTCTTTAGTTTAAAAAATTAAGTGACACTTAAAAAATAAAAAGTTTGAGAAGGCTTCTAAATGTTTTTGAGATTTATCTCAAAATTTATCTCAAGATTTAAAATGCACAGATCTTAAGTGTGCAGTTAGGTGAGTTTTTTTCCTATCTACCCATGTAGCTACTATCTAGATCATGATATAGGATATTTTTAGTAGCTTTAAGCCTCTTCCTAGTCAATCCTACATCCTTCCTCATAGGTAACCCTATTGAGTAACCCCATGAGAAAGCTTTGCTTATAAACATTTTGTGTTATTATTTGAAACTGAAGTGATTGCTTTAGAATTATTATCAGTGGGTTTTTTATATTAAGCAGAAATAATAGTATTGTTTTTTGGGTGTTGGTAATTGGGGTTATCTATGACATTTATATTATACCAGGAGGACTGTACTCTTTCACTTCATGGGAGGTATAGTTTGAGCTGTGTTATAAGGTTGTATGGTGAGAAACTCACCAGTTAGGTGTTTGGTAATTAATTGCTTTAGTGAATATTGCTTTTGATTGACCTTTTTCTTTAACTTTCAGACAGGTATATTTAGTGGTTGTAGCACAGTAGATTTAACTATCTCCAGCAAATATCTACTTTTAGGGTTGATAGTAATACGGTCAAAAGTTGGGAAACTGAAGTTGGGGAAAAAAATGAAATGAAAAAGTGGGAAAGATTGGCTTCCTAGCAAGCTAATTTTATTTATTAATTAAGTATATTTTTATTGATTTCAGAGAGGAAGGGAGAGGGAGAAGAGATAGAAACATCAGTGATGAGAGAGAATCATTGATTGGCTGCTTCTTGTGTGCCCCACTCTGGGGATTGAGCCTGCAACCCGGGCTTATGGTATGACTGGGAATCAAACCGTGACCTCCTGGGTCATAGGTCAACACTCAACCACTGAGCCATGCTGGCTGGGCCCTAGCAAGCTAATTTTATATAAGTTATGAATCTGGCACATATTAGGCACTCAGTAATTAAGTGGTGACTGAAGCCACAACATCCAGTCATAAACTGAAGGTCAGGAAAGATGCCTACTTGTTTTTCAAAAAGTACTAGTTGTTTCCTGCTGTTAGTATTTTCTTCTCCAGTGGCGTAGTTGAGGAACACACATAGAGGCACAATATGCACACACACACACACACAATTTTTTAATAGTTATTGATTTTTAGAGAGAGAGGAAGGGAGAGTATAAAATCTCCCTACTGGGAGATTTTATTTGGCCCCTACTGGGGATTGAGCTGGCAACTCAGGCAGGGGCCCTGACTGGGAATCAAACTGTCACCCTTTCGATGCAAGGAGGACACCCAACCAACTAAGCCACATTGGCCAGGGCTATACATATATATTTTTTAAACTTTTAAATTGTAGTGTAACACCCTGGCTGGTTTGGCTCAGTGGATAGAGTGTTGGCCTGCGGACTCAAGGGTCCCGGGTTCGATTCCGGTCAAGGACATGTACCTTGGCTGTGGGCACATCCCCAGTGGGGAGTGTGCAGGAGGCAGCTGATCGATGTTTCTCTCTCATCGATGTTTCTAACTGTCTATCCCTCTCCCTTCCTCTCTGTAAAAAATCAATAAAATATATTAAAAAAAAACTGGAGTATAACATAGAGAGAAAAATACATAAAAGTACATATTTACAAAGTCCCCTTTGCGCTTCCTGTCATTCATTACCTCTTCCTAAAGGTAACCAGTATTCTGACTTCTGACACTACAGATAAATATGTAAATGTAATAATACAGCATGTACTATGTTCTATTGACTGCTTATGCTCAGCATCATGTTTATGTGATCCATCCATTTTGTTGTGGAAGCAGTAATTGTTTCATTCTCTTCGCTGTATTAGAGTACGTATAATATTTGGTTAGCTTAGATAATCTTAGGGCAAAGTTATCTGCTTAAATACTTTTCTCTCTAAAGCAGTTTCTAACCCAGTGTAACCTTAGAGATTGGGTGGCTTTCTTACTGACTTACTGAGAGAAGCTGGTACCTGGGGGATACTGGGAAGGAGGAACATGTACATGGCCGTGCTCTTAAGAGCCAGTGTATCAGGATTTACCCCAGCATGTAGCTGAGGCCGCCGGGTTTGGAAGGCGCGATTCAAGAGGGATTTAAGCAGCCTAGAGCTCCAGAGGGGGAAAAGGAGCTCGGCTTAACCACAGAGATGACTTAACCTTTTGCCCTAATTAAGTATATATATTAAAGAGCTAGTGTATCAGTGTGGTAATAAAGAAGTTACATATCTCCATTTCCTCTATCTGAAATTTATTTACTTTTGCTAGTAGAAAGTTGGTGGTGTTTTGAAAAGTGTATATGCTTTAGTAGTAATACTAATAGCTCACGTTTATTGAGCTCATACTAGTTACAGGGTCTATGCATAGTGCTTACTTAAATTACCTGGTTTTATTTTCACCAAAAAGAATGTTTTATTAATAGTCTGTAGATTGAAGTTTTGGTCAGTACAAATGAATCCATTCTTTAAATTTATCTTTAAATTTATGTGGCCTCCATTTTCTGACTGTTGTTCTTTTCATGAATAATAGGTATGTCATTGATGGTGCCACTGCTCTATGGTGTGCAGCAGGAGCAGGACATTTTGAAGTTGTTAAACTTCTAGTCAGCCATGGAGCCAACGTGAACCATACTACAGTAACTAACTCGACCCCTCTGCGGGCAGCTTGCTTTGATGGCAGACTGGACATTGTGAAATACTTGGTTGAAAATAATGCCAACATCAGTATTGCCAACAAGTATGACAACACCTGCCTAATGATTGCAGCATATAAGGGACACACTGATGTGGTCAGATACCTTTTAGAACAACGCGCTGATCCCAATGCTAAAGCACATTGTGGAGCCACAGCATTGCACTTTGCAGCTGAAGCTGGGCACATAGATATTGTGAAAGAGCTGATAAAATGGCGTGCTGCTATAGTAGTGAATGGCCATGGGATGACACCATTAAAAGTGGCTGCCGAAAGCTGTAAAGCTGATGTTGTCGAACTGTTGCTCTCTCACGCTGATTGTGACCGAAGAAGTCGGATTGAAGCTTTGGAACTCTTGGGTGCCTCCTTTGCAAATGACCGTGAGAACTATGACATCATGAAGACATACCACTATTTATATTTAGCCATGTTGGAAAGATTTCAGGATGGTGATAACATTCTTGAGAAAGAGGTTCTCCCACCAATCCATGCTTATGGGAATAGGACTGAATGTAGAAATCCTCAGGAACTGGAATCCATTCGGCAAGACAGAGATGCTCTTCATATGGAAGGCCTTATAGTTCGGGAACGGATTTTAGGTGCTGACAATATTGATGTTTCCCATCCCATCATTTACAGGGGAGCTGTCTATGCAGATAATATGGAATTCGAACAGTGTATCAAGTTGTGGCTTCATGCCCTGCACCTCCGACAGAAAGGTAACAGGAATACCCACAAGGATCTTCTTCGATTTGCTCAAGTTTTCTCACAGATGATACATTTGAATGAAACCGTGAAAGCGCCAGATATAGAATGTGTTTTGAGATGCAGTGTTTTGGAAATAGAACAAAGTATGAACAGAGTAAGAAATATTTCAGATGCTGATGTCCACAGTGCTATGGACAATTATGAATGTAATCTCTACACCTTTCTGTATTTAGTGTGCATCTCCACCAAAACACAGTGCAGTGAAGAAGATCAGTGCAAAATTAACAAGCAGATCTACAACCTGATTCACCTTGATCCCAGAACTCGGGAAGGCTTCACCTTGCTGCATCTAGCTGTCAATTCGAATACCCCAGTTGATGATTTCCACACCAATGACGTTTGCAGCTTTCCAAATGCACTTGTCACCAAGCTCCTGCTAGATTGTGGTGCTGAGGTAAATGCCGTGGACAATGAAGGGAACAGTGCCCTTCATATTATTGTTCAATACAACAGGCCCATCAGTGATTTTTTGACCTTGCACTCTATCATCATTAGCCTAGTTGAAGCTGGCGCTCACACTGACATGACAAATAAACAGAATAAGACTCCGCTAGACAAAAGTACAACTGGGGTATCTGAAATACTACTTAAAACTCAAATGAAGATGAGTCTCAAGTGCCTGGCTGCCCGAGCAGTTCGGGCTAATGACATTAACTACCAAGACCAGATCCCCAGAACTCTTGAAGAATTTGTTGGATATCATTAAGTGACTGGATATGTAAAATTGTTTAATGTGGTGCTAAAAAGTAAAGAACTTTAATCACAGACAATAGAATTATGTGTTCATAAATTCTACTTTTCTTTCCATTACCCTTTCTCTCTACCCATCCTTCCTTAGTTCTGTATTTAGTCTTCTAGTCTCATATGGTAATTGATTTCAAATACACTTTAAACAAAGCCACATTGTTTAGGTGTAACTAATCTAAGGTGTTTGAATATTGGTCACTTTAACTACTTTTCTTTCTTTTTTTTTTTTTAAGGAATGAATATAAAATGTTTTGTTTATGTAACAGAGAACATTTCTAATTTGAAGTTGATAATGTTTGAAAAAAATTGCCTACAAAAGTATTTCTGTTAAGCCTTTGTTAGCATGTTATTCTTGTAGCAGTTTTGAGGATTTCATGAAGAAAAACAACTAAAAGTGAACATTAAAAGTAATGGGATACCCAGGTGTTCTGCACATGCCAAACTGCTGTAGGTAGTTTTCACTCTTTCATTAATTATGTTGAGTGATACAGCACATTATAACATCAGGAGGATTTAAAAAAATATAGCTGCAGATTAATCTGAAAAATATGCTAACTTAATAATAGTTATACATTTATAAAGTTAAATCCATTGAAATTATTGCATTATGCTGGGTGGTATATACCAAGTAGTAATAATCTTAAAGTGACTTTTCAGAAAATATTGATGGACTGTTTGCCTTTAGGCTTTGAATTCTAAAATTCTTTGAAGTCTCTGTTTTAATGTAGCTTATCTAAATTGCAGCAGTCTGCATTTGACTCAGCTCACAAATATGTAAAAATTATGAATGCTGTGTTTTCTTATGAAACAAATTGTCACATATAGTTACACATTCTATTTTTTTTCCTTTCTTTCCTCCTGTGTGGTAATTTTAAATTTGGAAACTACTTTTCTAGCAGGCATTATTTGTTCCTCCCTATTAAGGTGTGTATGATAGATGAAAGGAACCAGGATCTTTTTAAATTTTTTTTTCACTTTATTTAGTCTGTGATAAGAAGTAGAAAAAAATCACTAGTGTGGTATAGGGAATTAAATATTTTTGATGATGAAAAGAATTTGCAATGCCACTTTGAAAGATAGTTCTGTTTGAGAGCTGCACATTTTTCAACCACAAAATGTCACTTATTCTGACAGGTTGTACAGAGGTTTTTATGTTTTTTGTTTTGTTTTGCTTTAGTGGCAACATTTTAAGTGTAAGACTAAAAGAGTGATCTGTGATTATCTTTTAAGCATCACAGAAATTCAAGCAAAGCATACACACCTATTTTTATTGATGTTAAAAATGAGAAAGTAAAATTAGCTATATCTGTATTTTTCTCTCTAGTGCCAAATGAATGCCTTAGCTATTCATAGTGCATGGTACTGTAAGTGAAGACCTACAGCTTTTTTGTTTCTTTCATGAAAAGCATTATAATGATGTAGCAACATCAGATATAAACTTAAAACTTGTAAGGTTTCAATTAACATTTTATGTATGGAAATTGCTTTGTGAAGTATAAGAGAAAGGTTGCAGTTGGATCAGTATAAAACATAATGACCAAACCAAAATCAGCACCTAGGGCCTTAAAATAGCGATACCCCACAAAATGAAATACTTTGAAGGGTGGGACGGAATGGAAAGGGGGAACTTAAAGAGCTTTTCCCCCAAGAATGCAAGGTACTTTTACAGCTACTGTAGTTATACTTCGTGTGTCTTCTTGCTTCAGTTAGGAATGTTTTGATGGTTAATTCTGTCATGGTAATATATTTCTGTTTTTCTAACCTGAGTTTTTACAAGGAAGATTAGTTTAAAGGGAGGTATTTGAATGAATCCTAATTTGAAAATTACTGGCCTTGATCCCCCTGGTGTGAGTCAAGGAAATACTGAACCTTGCTCTTGGCAACTGTAATGGACTGAAAGAGAAAATGCCCATCCTCAAGGTGAGTGAATCACACCTTTCTACAGCTCAGATCAGACCCTGCGTTTTTCAGACTTCAAGGCCTGCTTATTGACAGTCTGAGGAATGGCTGTGATAGATGGTATTCATTTGGTTTCATTATTATTATTTTTTTTAATATTTTATTGATTTTTTTACAGAGAGGAAGGGAGAGAGATAGAGAGTCAGAAACATCGATGAGAGAGAAACATCGATCAGCTGCCTCTTGCACATCTACTGGGGATGTGCCCGCAACCCAAGTACATGCCCTTGACCGGAATCGAACCCGGGACCCTTCAGTCCGCAGGCCGACGCTCTATCCACTGAGCCAAACCGGTTTCGGCTGGTTTCATTATTAATGTATATGATTTTAAACACCAAAACTTCAAATATCAGATAATGTTGCATGTTTTAAAAATCATGTCATCCCTTTGGCTACCCAGGACCAGCACTCTTAGATATTGCTTATTTGTAAAATGAAGATAATGATATGTGTACATATTTACACATCAAAATTTAATGATGCTGTTTTTGAGGAGGGAGGACTGAATGCTGGAGAAAGTAAAACTGCTGATTGAAATGCTGACAAAGTTGGAGAAAATTTGAAGACAGTGGAATAAACTATGAACTCTGCTGATGGTAACTGAGATTTTATTTTACTATAGTATAGAAGCACATGTGTACTATATTGCTAAGGACCTGATTCTGTCTTGTAAAATCAGATATGTTTTGTGAAACACCTGTATAAAACCATTCTTGAAACGCGATCTACATGCCTGTTTTTTATTTGTTTGTGGTAGAATTTAAAATATGTTTAGCCAAACCCTTCCCAAACTTAAGTTTATTTGTTTTTGATTTTTTTTTTTTAAGGAAAATAGGTAAAGAAAGGTGATAGTTCTGTATCTCAGCTCTCTGAGAACTCTAGACTGTCTTCATTTTCCAGCTACTTTTGTCATTTTATGTTTCTTATTGGTAGGATTAAGCTTTGGATTGTAAGTCTTTCTTGGTAGCATTACAAATTCAATCAAAACTACTTTGTCTTGCTCATAACTGTCATATAAATTTGGTTGACCTAGAGGCCCAGGTGGATGAATGCCTGGGCAAACCATGTGAAACTTGCTTGGTTTTGTGCTTTTAGTAGAGTTGGTAAAATGGGTTTTTGAGGTTAGGTAATTAACTCAAGAGACGGGCAGCAAATTCATCCCCTCAACTGATAAAGACGGGGACATTTTTGACATAGAATTATGACACAACATCGTTTTTTTTTTAGTTTACTTTGGTCGCACAGTCCCACTACCGTAAGGTTCTTTGCTGTGAAAACTTCAAACAAATTCAAAAGCAAGCTTTGGTCTTGCTTATTTCTGGGAAGGGTTTTATTTCGTGATACTAATTGTTGATTAATAAGTGGTAATCATGAGAAACTTAGGTGTGATAGCACTGTGTGAAGTAAAATATGATTTGGGGGCAGTGGATCCCTAAATAACTGCATTTGGCAAGTGTTTTTGAAAATTGAAATCCCAAGGGAACAACACTCTGTCATTGCATTTGAGGCAGCTCCTTATGAATAAGACCATTTTGGATTATTCAGGTAGAGCATTTGGGTGAGGAATGAGTTGCTTGACCTTGGATTACAGTTTGCTGGTTTTAGAAGCAGCCGGTGATTAAACTAGTGAGTAGATGGATAAAAGTGTAACGACTTGTTTTTATGGTAGATTTTCTGTAAAAGTCGTAAATGTTCCCTTTCAGGCTAGTCAGATGTACCAATGTACAGATGACTCTTCTGTTTTTCCTCACTAACTATACTGTAACATTAAAATGGGTTAAAGAAATCCAAACTCTGTCTTTTGCTCTCTGACAAGTTACTAGTTCATAAGATTTTAAGCTGTGTATCCTACAGTGAAAATGCACAGCTCTGCTCTGGACATCCTCTCTAAGAAGTAGAAAGCTCCTAACTCTGTATGGCACATTGCAGGGCTTTCTCATACATGTCTGGCAGATTTGCCCACATCTCCAGACGGGCTGGGTTGTGTAGCATCCCCACCCCCAAATATGGGATTTGAAATAAATATTACACAATAGTGGTGATAGACATATTACTTTTTAAAACTGTAAAGTAATTGTGGTCTCTAGTCCTAGATTTGTGGTGTGTTCATTTGTATTAATGTGTAGGGAAGGGACACATTGACTTGGTGGTTATGGGGAGTGTATCTTGATATGTGTGCAGGGGTGAGTATTGCTAAACTATTAACAGCTTTTCATTTAGGGGTGAGTCACGTGATGAACGGCCCAATCAGAACAATGAAGGAACGAAGATTCAAGCTTTGCCAAGTGATGAAGTGAACAAGGTTTTGTATGTTTTTAATCAGGTGTTGTAAAATTTGTGCATGGCTTTTTTATTGTTGCATAATAATTGGTAGAGGAAAAAACATGAGGGGGAAAAAACCTCAGCTTTGCTAACCAATTTTTTCAGAGGTACATAGTTGGGGAGTAAAATCTGACTGGCTTTAAGTGTTGAAAGTTTCCATTTTTATAATATTCATCCCATCCTGCAATCCTCCATGTAGAGGAACTAAATGGTTGTATTCTAGTAATTCACTGTGATTTATAAAAAACCAGTGATGTTATTCTATTGTGCACTTTTGTCAAACCATTTACGTGACTTTAATAAACTTAGTAAACTTGCTGACTGTACAAGAGGTCTAGTAGTGATTTATATATTGCATGACATTTTTTATTTGAATTTGACATGTCAAATCATTTTTAATTTTGTGGCAATTTATAGTCCTAATAGCTCGGCTAATTTGAAACTAACAAAATTGCTGTGTAAAAAGAAAACAATGGTGTTTGTGTTCAGTAAATGAAAAAAAACCCAAAACTACCTCGAAGTTTGTGTCTTTATTATCAATGTGCCTTAGTTGAGCTCCTCTTTAGTTGAATTCATTTGAAAAAGGTTGTCAGTTATACATATGTATGGGGGGAAACTTCAGATAGTAAAGAAAATTTAAATAGTTAAAGCAAGGAAATTCCCTTCCCATGTCTTTGCCTCCCATTTGGACTCTTCACAGGTAATCACCATAGCTGGTTTTTTGAGTAGCTTCTCAGAGCTTTCCTGTGCATATGTGTATTTATTTTTCTTTTCATTTTAAAAAATACACATGGGTTTTATCTTTCCTATTCTGCATCTTGTCTTTTTTTTTTTTTTTTTTTTAATTGACTTCAGAGTGGAAGGGAGAGAGAGAGAAACATCAGTGATGAGAGAATCATTGATTGGCTGCCTCCTGCACGCCCCCCACTGGGATTCGGGCCTGCAACCCAGGCATATGCCCTTGACCAGAATTGAACCTGGGACCCGTCAGTCTGCAGGCCGACACTCTAGCCACTGAGCAAAACTGGCTTGGGCTGTATCTTGTCTTTTTCAGCTATATCATAGACATTTTTATTTTTTATTTTGGTAAGTTTAGATATAAAAAACAAAACTTCATAGCAATTTAATTCTATGGGTGGACCTACAATTTATTTAACCCGACTTTATTGTTGAACTTTGAGGTTTTCAGATTATTTATATTCCAAATAATGCTTCAGTGAACATCCTAATGTATTCTATTCATAGAAAAATTCATTACTAGCACTGGAGTTTTTGGTTTAGTTACTGAGTATATAAAATCTTGTTAGAAGTTACCAAATTTCCTTCTGTCTGCCTACACCTTTATTGACACCAGATATTACCTAATCATTTAGTTTTTGTCAAGATGATTGATGAAAAATAGTATTTCATGGTTTTGATTTGTGTCCCTTTGTTATGAGTAAGGCTGACCTTTTCATGTATTTACTGACCTGTATGTTGCTTTTGGGTTGTCTTTTTCTTGTTAAACTTTTTTTTGAAAGTTTAAGGAAATTTTCTGTCAGATGTCACAGTTTATAGTTTGTTTTACTTTAAATATAGTAGTTTTTAAAAAAAAATATTTTATTGATTTTTTACAGAGAGGAAGGGAGAGGAATAGAGAGTTAGAAACATCGATGAGAGAGAAACATCGATCAGCTGCCTTCTGCACACTCCCTACTGGGGATGTGCCTGCAACCAAGGTACATGCCCTTGACTGGAATCGAACCTGGGACCCTTGAGTCCGCAGGCCGATGCTCTATCCACTGAGCCAAACCGGTTAGGGCAAATATAGTAGTTTTTATAGAAGTTTACGTTTTTATGTAGCCAAATTTGTCTTTTGTAATTTGCTTGTTGTAATGTGGTTCCATTCCAAGATCATAAATCTTTTTTTCACCATGTTTTCTTCTAGTTCTTTACTGGCGTTTCCCTCCTACTTCTCTCCTTCCTCTTCCTTTTTCCCTCCTCTTCCTCTTCAGGTGGTTCATAAAGCTGGTTGGCAAGCTTAGATAAGTTGTGTTTTCTAATCTGCCTGTGCTCTGTAAATTTGGTGTGCTTAGTCCATCCCAAGATCAGGAATGGGGTTTGCTCCTGCCTCAACAAGTGGGAATAAACTTGAAAATTAGCACTTACTAAAGCACCTGCTCTGTAGCAGGCACTGTACCAGGGATGTGCATACACAAATAAGAAAGATGGTAACTGCCCTTGGTAAGCTTGTCCAGCTGAATGCCCCTATTTGAAATCTGATTTTCTATTTTTCTTCAAATTTTAATTTAATTTCCAAACTAAAATTTTATGTTGTTACTTTTTTACTCTGGCTTGGGCCATCTTCTAAAACATTTCAGAAAACATCATCTGAGTTGCTGCTTGTTTTTTTATGTAGTACCAGGGAGATAAGAACAAAGAACATGAAAAACTGATAAGAGAGGGTGAGTCCATTAAGGAATGGTATTCCATCCTTTTTAAAACAAATATTTTTCTGCTCCTACCCTACTGTAAGCCTCATGAGTTTGCTAAGTACATTTTAGCCTATATCACATTGAAAAGTTTCAGAGCTCAGGCACCAGGCTTCGAACACTCTTTACCCTAAACCTTCAAAGCTCTGTTCTGTTTCACTTTCTGTTTTGGAACATGCAGTCCTGCTTTAGTGTGATCTCAAAGCTAATGGAATAGACCAGCGGTTCTCAACCTGTGGGTCGCGACCCCTTTGGCGGTCGAACGACCCTTTCACAGGGGTCGCCTAAGACCATCCTGGGGGTGGGGTGGGGAGTGGGAGGAGGGAGATGTTTTGCTGGGAGTTTTGCCCGTAGCTGCCAACATAGGCCCCAGGGCAGCTGAGAAAGGCTGCCCTGTTTAAGAAACTGACATTGACGATTAGAGAACAACAGAGTTTTGTGGCTCTGGGTTGCTGGTTCTCTAAGTTTTAATGGGCTTGAAATTACATCATAGAAATTGGATTTGGGAGGTCTGGGTGGAAATTAGTCTGTGGTTCCGATTGAAGTGGCTCTGGGACCCCACTTTGAGAAGCTCAGCTCTGGATACATAATCCACTTTAAGAGGCACAAATTGCCCTCTGAGCTCGCATACCTACACCATCTAATGCCAGAGAGAAGCCGCACTTACCCCTGGATTTCTCCTTTCCAGCTCTCAGCTGGCTGGAACTGACACCACAGTCGATGTTCATGTCCTCGAAGAACACTGATGGCACAAGGGCCTGAGGACCCTTGAGTCTACCCCCGATGTGCCCCTCAGTTCCTGTGTCTTCTCTGAGGGGCTGCCCTTCCATATGGGCTCTCACCATGTCAGAGTCAACAGTGAAACCACCCAGGACATCTTGCCCATCTCATTTCATAACTTCTTGTTGGAGGCCTTTCTCCTCTAGCAGAC